ATATATATATACACGTTGGTTTGTGTACGACGGCTTCAATGTGCACCGAATGCGCACCAGCTCTGCCAGTGAAAAACGCTATTAGTTATATCAATATCGTTGTCATGCGATATTCTCGTAGAAAATTACGCGTTCGTGTGTGGCGACGGTCCGCCGACGAGCAATGTGCGAGTCAATGAAAGACGAGGTCCAGATTACGCGGATCGGCATAAAAATTAGGTAAATCGAAAAACATGCGATAAGTCGGAACTCCCTTCCGGTCATTGGTCTTGCTTACGACCGACAAACACACCCGAAGGACGGTGTGAATTACGAAGTACAAAATACAAGAATAAAAAGAGCAGATATTTCGTTGCACGTTAAAGTACGAGACAGATATTTAATGACAGCAAGAGTTAACGTTTAATTTAACGATAATGTAAGGCCATTTAATATTTCACCAACGAAATTTTTCATCAACAATCTCATATGTGCTCTAAAAGCGATTGTATCGACATTAATTAAAATTTCCTTATTACATTTATTAATAAAATCTCGATTGAATTAATGAAACAAGCGATCATTGAGCATTTATATTATCATAATTCGTGAAAAGTTACTTGTCGTCATTCATCATTTGGAGCAATCTGCACAGTAGAGAAAACAACTGTCTTACATTGCCAAAGATTGACATGGCGAACGTATGCCAACCTATCCACAATATTAAAACCATTGTCGAAAGTCGAGATAAAAATGAGGATACGCCCCTTTCCCCGCGTCTGCATTCGAGAATAAAATTCGCGCGTCGAAACGTGCCGCGGTTACATACGGAATCCGCGAGATAAGAGCAAGCCCACACTTCCTAGACCTCGTTACGGTCGTTAAGAGATAACGCGCCTCGGTGTCTGCGCTCACCGCATTTCCTGTATCCGCGAAACAGGGAAAAACGAAATCGATCGCGATCCGGTCCGGCATACGTCAACCGGACTTAGGGCACGGTGGTGGACCCTTCCCTCGACCTCCCGTTCGTCCTTGCGCCTAGAACCACCCACGGATAATGTCCCCTGGCATGGACAAGGCGCGACGCATGGTCCCTGCTGCCGGACCACATACGTGCGTCTGGGAAGGAAGAAAAAAAAAAGATCGATCCTCTCGGCCGTGGTGGAACTGCCCGTGTGCAGGACCGACGACGACGACGTGCCGCGCGGTGCGAGCAAGCAAGCGAGCGAGCGAGCACGAGCGCGCTCGCACGTCCACGAGAGTGGGAGATACCGAAGGTATAAAACCGATCTGGTAGACTGGTGCCAGCCAGTCCAAAGGCCAGATACGGCGGCGGCTCTAGTCGCACGCGTGCGAGAGAGACGATCACGATACTCGGCGTGCGGTACTCCTCTTAACGGACGCGAGACGCGCGCGTCACACATACATACACATACATATATGTAACAGTGACCAGCGCACTACCGGTCATCCCTCGATGGTGATTCCGTGCGAGATTTTCGCGAAGGGATCGAAAGCAATTTTACGCGCTTGTGCACATCCAAAGGGAAATTTAAGTTGACGAGACGACGAGGCATTGTCCTGCTCCGAAGGGAGAGAAAGGACGGCGAGCTCCGATTTCGGCTCTGTCTTCGAAAACACGTTCCCTGGGATACAAGCGCTTCGTAGCGATCTCTTCCTCCCCAAGTATCGAGGAGAAGACGAAGATCTCAAATTATAGACGTCGATACGTCACGCACGGAGCACTCGCGCGAGAAATCGATTCGTTATTCGAGGGTGACCGACAGTGGGTTTCTTGTGGAATCCGTGGATTAGTATAAGGGAGATCACCAGCCGCGACACGACGAGGAGTGGTGATCTGGTTGAGGACGCGCGTTTTTGACGAGTTGAACGACTCCCGGATAATACTGATGAGGATCCAGGAAGCATCATCGACTTTCGACAACAATCTAGAAGAGAGTATCCTATCAGGGTGGCTTCGCGAGGGATCGACGCCTCGTAGCATGTCGGCTATTCGTATCAACGTGGAGGAGGCTTCCAACAGCGGCGAGGATATCGTTAGAGACGTAAGTGTGTTGCGCGACAGCTGCTACTCGATAATCCAGTCCTCGATGTAGTAACGTCTTACCTCGTCGGTAATCCTCAGCGTGGCGGAGGGGGAATGTGGAATAGAAGTCGCAGCATCACGGAAATCACACACATGTCCCCCCGCCGCTTTTTATCGGCTCGCCGGCTTTCTATTTCACCGTTCCTTCCGCCACTCAGGTGGCTGCTGCTCATCCACGTTTCGATCTCCACATCGGAGATCAACGTGCCTCGCAAGACCCCGGAGGCACTTTCACGGTTGCGCGACGAACGGTTGTCTCTTGGTTCGGCGGGAAAACGCGTCGCGGAACAAAGGGAACCGCGAGCGTAATCACGAATCGCGTCGCGATCCAGTGAAACGATCGGAGCGAACTGATGAGCTAATAGGTCGCGCGCATTTACAACCAAATAGCTCTTGCACGGCTCTAAAAGAGCGAGAATATATCTACGCTATTAATTATACCTGTGTTTATCGATGGCTTCTTTCCATCGTAAAATGGTCAATGAGACGCACAGCTAATCTCGATTCTATTCATCGGCAACGAACTTCCGTCTAGTAGAGATTCGAGAAGTGTCGTACGCGCGTACATGTCATGCATTAGATCTATTTTAGTCACGGACTTCGCTGGATGATTTATGACGGTAAGCCGTTGACGCTCGAAAGATATCTGTTACTCAGAACTACGGTCATGTACACGAACTATACGGTGTGAGGAACAAGTTCAACGCACGAGCACGTATGGCGAGCCTTAACGGGCGACGCGGTCTTAATAATCGAGGCATTCCGGTAAAAGGCGTCGAATGCATTAGGTTCACGGGCAACGTGTACAAGCTACAACACTGTAATACCGCTCACCGCGAATACTTAATAAGCTTGATAGCCGTTCAAGTTTTATGTAACGCGAAGACGGAGTTCTATAACCTCGCTACCGGTTGGGAAACGAAGGGCAGTATTGTTCCCAGATAATATGCGTGTCGAGAGTAATTGTGAAAAGTATTCTGCGTTAGATAAAAAAAAAAATCTTCCCGAACACTCGCGAGCTACGTTAATATATTCTATGTTAACTGTGTAGTAATTGTTATCCCTGAGAATTCTTGCGCACCCTGAGATAGAAAACGTCAACTTTACCTGGCGTTTAAAGGAAGATGTAGCTCAACAATAGCGCGCGTCACGCATAATTACACAATTTCTCCGATACGGAAGTATCGCTCGACGTCTCTCTCGTTTAAGAAAAGAAAATCTACTCGCGAAAGATGATAAAAATCTATCATTAAAAGATCACAGTTTTCAGGATACCCTATATGTATGTATGATTATTCCGGTTTTTGCAGAGCCGTTCAAGTGTACGGCGCGGCGGTATCATTTTCCTTCGAGTTCGTTTTATGTTCGACAGACCGCGGTGCGCGGTGCTCCGTAACTGGAAAACGATCCGACTCGCTCGTTCGTTTACGTTTGCGACGCCAGGCTTTGCCTTAGTATTAATAGCGACGGCTAATTAGAATAACGTCGCGTGCATAATGACGCGACTTTTACCGAAGTCCGCGCAACAGCCGCGAAAACACACGAGTCATTGATTTATTCATGGTAAAAGATTCAGTTTCACTTATTATATCCTACCGATACTTTAAACTTTCACGCTCGGAGCAATCGACAGGATATATATCAGCCTCATCGCATATGCGTATCATAAAAATGCAAAACGACATACGTTTCCTAGAAAATTCTAATTCCGGTTTGATAATGAATAAAATTCTCCTAATTATTGCCTTCTTCCGCAAAACGCCGCGCGCCGGATATTTTCGATCTAATTCTGAGTCTCGTTCGCAATTTACGAGCGTCCGTACATTAGTCTTCGTAACGATTCGACGTTAAGATCAAAGAAATAAAGCGCGGATGCGGGTGCTGTCGCAAGAGAACAATCTACGTATTTAAACTTGCCGCGGGTTGAACAAGAGATTTCAACAAGGCGGTGAGCAGACACCTGCGAGTCATTAATCATCTTACGAGTAAGTTCCATAATTCTCGTAATTTTAATGTTTACGACTTCACTCGCGTGATTACGCGTACAGGTGAGGCGCACGTGAGGCGTAAGCACCGTAAAACGCTTATCGCGACGAACCTCGCTTTTGTCCGACGTAAATTCCTGGGGAGATTTTAATTTACGACCGAAGAAAATTTTAATGACTAACGAAAACTTTACAGCGTATTCCGAGCCCTACGCTTTTAAAGATATTCATCTAGATTTTATTACAAGAATTTTTCGAGTGATGCTTTATGCGCGAAGAAATAAGAATTTTGACGTTCCAATAATACACCCAATTGTCATAAATTTTAATTCCCCCGACACTTTGTCCGATATTTTTTTTTAAATCTCAATTTATGCCTCGCCTGACCATCCCGTCCCACGTTTTAACTTCTGCTGCAGAACGAAAAGTAACTGCAGAGTGATTTATTACTTCGTCCGTTTTCTGCATCGTACTGTGCATGTATAATTTGCGCAAGCATCGAGCTAAATATTTTTAAATGGCAAGACCGATGAGTAAACAAAACGCCTAAAATGACAGCTAAATAATGATTGAATGTTAACGCCTACGCCTATTTTGCGATTGTATCTCGCAATAATGTCGATCGAAAAAAGATAAAGGACGATTGCCAAATGAATTCGAAGGTCGCGATATCAATCATTTACATGACAGCGCAATGACTCCCTAAGGAATGAAAAATTCGGTCACACTCTTATCAGAATCTGATCTCTTTTTCTAGGATGTGCTATAAATATATTATTTATAATAAATGAGTAGAAAATGTTAACTATTTGCTTGATTTTATTATACGTGTCTCAGACCGTTAAGAAGTACGGACGGAAGGAATGCATGCGTAAAACGAGTGTCGTTTGCCGACCGACTAGTCATGCAAGGTATAATCTCGCTCTTTTTTGCCTCATGGCACGCCTCGAAAGCGCAAAAGTGGCTGCGAAGTGCTCAAAGGCGAACGTTAACTTTGGTACTTAACGTTATTGTGAGATGACGGTGAGAGGAAAAAGAAAGGCTCACGACGAAAAATACCTTACGCGTCATTCGTGTCTATATAGAACGAACGAACGAACAAACGAACGAACGAAAATACAATATTCGTTACGGTGCACAAGTGAATTCACGGTACAAATTAGCCATGTGTACGAAATTAGCAACATATTAACCTATCACCTTGTTTAGCATGCAAACTGCAGCGGCGTGTCAGAAACGATCGCTTCCTTGGCGTTTACGTGTTGAAAACAACCTTCAAGCGCGAACGTCGAACCGGCAAGAATTACGAATAATTTTACTGAATGATAAAGTTTCAGCTGCCGTATGGAAATTATTCATTAAAAGATTGCCATAATTAAATCTTAAATCATTATTGTCATTATCGAGCTCATTAACGAGTGATCAGTTCGCTAACCTCAAGCGACGAGTCAACGATAATATAAAAAATATTAAATGTTCATATAGTAAAAGTGCTCAATTTTATGAACAATAAAAAAATAAAATTATGAATGTGTTTAGACATTTAAAAAATCAGATACAGTCTTAAATATATTCTTTTATAAATAAGACTATTATATTATATCTGCTTTTAATGTAAAAACTCGATGTTTCTTGTAGAAAAAATTGGATATTTGAATTTTAAAGTATATATATGAAATAATTTCGCTTGCTAGTCATACTTTTAAAAGTTCATGAATCCCTTTAGGAAATTCTCGCGAATTACAGATTCTCTTAGCTTTATGCAAAACGTGATTGATACGATGATCCGACAATTTCACTTTCCACACGTTCATATTTAGCGCACGATGATTCGCCTCGCGGTCGAACCCCATCAACAGAATTATTTGACTGATTGCAATATTTCGATTAGGGAAGTTCCATGACATTAACATCCGACTGCGAGGATAAAAGAGAAACTATTCACTATTTGAATTCTCCGTTTGAGACGCAATTTTATTATTAACGCGAATCTTCCCTTCCGCCGTCGATCGGATTATCCGCGCACAATGAAGTATAATTGCGCGACGCGTTAGCTCCACGTGACAGGGGAAAAAAATCGCTACACGGCAGGTTACAAATTGGATTTATGTAAGACCTGGTTGCAATTCATTTTGGACGCGAGTTCGCTTGAGAACAGGATCTTTCGGTAGGACAAATAATTTTTTATCCGTACGCGGCAAAACACAAATTAACACCTAAGCGACTCACTTCATATTTCTCTTTTTAATTGTCACAGAAAACGCGGGAAGCCCCAGAGATTTCGTCATTTGGAGAATCAGAACATTTGGAGAATTGATTTAGAGAATTTAAAGAAAGATCTCATCAAACTAAAAAATAATTTGGATCGAATCAATGTTATTAATGATATCTTTTCAAGCAAAAATATTGATAAAAAATAATTTTTCTAGTAATGTTGATCACTGCAAACAATATAATCACAGCAGGAAAGTTTAAATAAAACAGAAATCGATTAATAATACTTTTTTGTTTATGAGATGCAGCATGCAACTTAAACTTCAATTTTAATAATATAATATAATAATGCAATACTGCTTTGTTTATTTAATCGAATTTACGTGTGACGATAATTGGCTTTTGTGAATTAAGTTCACGATTTCAATTAACTGTTTTCGCCACTTGTGTAATAAAAATACTAACATGTGACAGCTTTGATGGATAACATACATAAAAAAATCACTTTTCAAAGTAAAAGCCCTCGACCTGATCACTTCAATCTGCTTTATCTGTAACTGTGTGCGTCTACCATTTGTATATCACTTATGTAATGACTTACATAATACAAACTACTTTGTGTATCACAAGGCTTTAAAAGCTTTTATTTATAACATATATAGTCCGTCCAAGTTGCATACCGGCTGTCACTCGACATGATTTCGGGAACCGATTTCGATAGCCACAGTGGAGCATGTCAAGGCGGTACATATTCAATGAA